ATTCTTGTTGGTGTTGTGTTGAAGTTTGTGTTTAATGTGTTTAATCTCACAATCACTAAGCATGTCTGTAATGGAGGCCGCAGCTGAACTGCTGGTTTGTGACCCCCTGCACTTTGCTCACCTGACGCTCCGCTCTCTGTAGTCCTTATATTTCCGAGTTCACCCAGTGTACAGTGAGACTTATGAGAGACACTGGACTCACATCTGAGATCCAAATATCTAGAAATATGAAAAATATACTGCAGCTTCAGCAAAGAAGAAGAGGTAGGAAACATTGTGCTTTAAAAGCAAGTGCACTTTTATTGAACAGGCAGCAAGAAGCACCGCTCAGTGCTGCTGAAACAGCTGAGAGAGCAGGCAGGTCACTTTCCCTTCATAGCAGACACTCCAACCAACACCAGTAAACATCGCCGAATTACAAATCTAGGAGATGTGAGAGTTGGTGAGGACTGGAAATCTGGTGAAGTTCTAGGTGCTGCAACTGGTATTATGTCTGTTCGACTGCTTCAGAGAAGCACAGGAGAAGTGATCTCACTGCCCACTTCTCTTAGGGGGGCCTTAGAGCACCACTCAGGTGGAGACCAGGAGCCCTTCGCTTCTCTCCCTATTACTGCTGAAATAGGGGATTATCAGGAGGAGGAGGGAGCACTTCTCTCGTTCAGGACTCCACAACTAGCTGGCTTTGCAGATGTATCCAAGAAGGCGCCGTATGACGTCTGTGTGAAAGTCCTTCACAGAACCTCACTGGATGGCTTAAAGGAATCGAGGTGGTTGGGTGTGTTGGCACCAGGCTCTTCTCCACAAGGCAGTTGGAGATCCCTGTACAAGCTTCCAATCGAGAAGCACCCGGGGGATCTGCAGTGGAGGATTGTGCTTATTTTAAGACGACTCATAACCTGCCTGCCTTTCATCGAGTGTGGGGACAGGGTGGGGTTTTATGTGAACTTTATGTGAAGGGGTGAGCATGCAAGGGATGCCAAATATCTCTGTATCAGGCTATGCAGATGACGTCTCTGTGTCCGTGAGCAACAGAGTGGATGTCCAATAGCTGGAGGTTACACACATACATTTGCTGTGGAGCAGAACAGGTCTCAAAGTGCTGGGAATTCATCTAGGCTCTGCAGAAGTGGTGAAGAAAAACTGGGAGTGTGCCTTGACGCGAATATCTGAGAGGCTAGCGAGATGGACGTGGCTGCTGTCGCAGGTGTCTTACGGAGGACGGGTGCTGATAATTAACAGCTTGGCGGCATCCACCCTGTGGCACAGACTGGCCGTGCTCAACGCACCTCTTGGCCTGTTAGCTGAGCCTTTAGGCTCAAGGCTGCACCGTGGCTGCTCTACCACCTGGACCTGTGCTGGAGGGAAACTGCACACGCACTGCTCAGGAAAGCTGGAAGCATGGGACTTCACCGACACCTTTTCCTCCTCAATGCTGACGAGCTGGATCTCTCAGGCTTAGAGGACTTCTACGCATCAGTACTGAAAGCATGGAAGTTGCTGCAGGCCACGCGTGACGAGGCCATAGAACCGACAGTTATCTCGGTTCTATCAGAGCACGCGTGAATGTGGACTTTGCTAACTACAAGGCAATGAATGACTTGTTAACGTTTCAGAATACGTGGTGTGTTGATGAAGCACTGTGTTGTGTAGAGAATGGAGAACTTACGATGTGTATGTGATGTGTCGTCTTGTAACAGGTGGGGGGTGCGGGTGGTGGGGAGGATGGGTGGGGCTGAGTGGGATTCGTCTGATTGTGAGGTGTAATTTTGCACACTGTTGACCTTAAAAGCAAAGTAAAAGTCTGTGAAGACCCCTTCTGGAGTGTGAGGGGGAGTCTAGAATGAACCTGGGGACAGTGTCTGGTAAGCTGCTGTATAGAGCCTGTGTGAAGGTACTGAATAAGAAAAGACTGCACAGTAGAAACGACACACCATGGCGTGATGATATGAAGCCGGAGTGGAGAGCACTGTATAAACCACCATTGACTAAAAAAGTAGCTGACCTGCAGTGGAGGATTTTACACGGTATTGTCTCAGTCAACGCTTTTATTTCTGTTTTAAATCCTGAGATTTTACCACAGTGTCCTTTTTGTCCTCAGAGAGAAACTGTGTTTCATGCTTTTATGCACTGTTTTAGGCTTTGCTCTTTGTTTGAAGTTTTAAAGACTGTTTTTAGGTCTCTTAATGTGACTTTTACACTCCAGACTTTTATCCTTGGTTTTAAATACGTCAAGAGAGAGAAATCCAAATGCCAACTGATCAACTTCATCCTTGGGACGGCAAAAATGGCCATATATATCAGTCGTAAAAACAAGGTGGCACATGGTACTGACTGCGAGGCCACAAGGATTCTCTCTAGGCTGGTCAGATCAAGGATTTTAATTGATTTTAATTATTATAAGAGCATATGTGATGTGGAGGCCTTTGAAGCGATGTGATGCTGTGGTGGGGCCGTGTGCTCGGTGTGCGAGGGTGAGCTCTGCTTCACTCCTGAGCTCAGATGAGCCGGACTGTGTTTTATTTGTCTTTTTGTTTTTACCTATTTATAAAGTGTTGTCTTATTTTTATTTAATAATTTAATTTATTTCAATATAGGTTAAGATGACACAGTGTGACAGATGACTGTTTTAAAGAAAGAGCTGGTTCAATAAAAGACCGTCAAAAGTCAAAAGTCTCTCTCTTTCCCATTCTCTCTCTCTTATGCTGGTTATTATATTCTGTATTATACAATCAATTATCAGTCATTATTAGTATTGTTGTAATTATTATTGATGTTATTATTACTAGGCTACTACTGTGACTACAAGTACTATGAGTACTTTCTCTCTCTCTCTCTCTCTCTCTCTCTCTCTCTCTCTCTCTCTCTCTCTCTCTCTCTCTCTCTCTCTCTCTGTTCTCCGTTCTCTGTTTCTGCAGTCAGGCTGGGTGGTCACTCTTCTCAGTAAGGAGCTACCAGTAGGTGGACATGTGCAGATATTTACCAGAACATACAAATGTTTGTAAGGGTGTTTTCACACGTAGTTCTTTATGAATAAACCAAATTCAGTTCTATGAAAGTGAACCAGCTACAAAGGACCCAGTGCTGTCTGTGTCCACAATGTAAGCACATTTTAAAGGGGACTTGGTTCTCTTTCTGGTCCTCTTTCGCATTGATGTGATCTCAGATCACTTGTTGTTCACATCAGAACTCATTTAGAACTCAGACAGTACCTGATAACACAAAATTATGAGTAGTGTTATTCAGCTTCATCATATAACAGATCTGACAGGTCGAGCTACGTTTGGCCTTCAAAAGCCCCAAAGCTATGAAACACCATTAAAAAGTCACTGTTGTTAATGAAATCCTGTTTCATTAATCCAAAGCAAACCAGCAGCAGGCAGACAGCAGTAAACCAGCAAGACTCACAAACTATCAACACACAGATTGAGGCAGCTGAGCTGTGGCTAAATAGGGAGCAGAATGAAGATCAGGTGAGGGGCGGAGCCGGTGATCATTAAGCCAGTGACACCAAGTGAGTCAGAGATAATGGGGGTCATGGGACCTTGGAGTGTTACATTATGTAAGTATAGATGTTTAAAACATTTGAGAGTTGGGTTTAAAATGTTAGAGAGCCACTAAAGCATGCTTTATGAGTTGACTTTAAACAGTAATAACTACTTACAAGGAAAAAATATATGTATTTTATTTAACATACTTTATTTAGGTCATAGACGTGTTTTTTCTCCTAATGTCTCCCACAAACATGAACCATTTTACCTCCTTTAGTTCCTGCTTCACCAGTTCAGCTCAGTACTCTCCTTTTAAGTCGACCTCAGTGATCTTAGAAGCGAAGCACTTCATGGAACTGGGTTGTAACTCACTCACCAACGTTTAAAGCAGCATTTTGTGAGAATTGGCATTTTTGCTCTTTTTACGCAGCTTAACCACTTCTTAAGCTCAAATAGCTGCTCTATCTATCTGTCTGTCTGTCTAATCTTATGAGTAATACTAGTACTATTACTCCTAATAATAGTGTAAATTGCCTCCTTCTCAAAATCAAACAGTTCAAAGACTCAAAACATACTTATCTAAATATACAATTACATGGATATCTTTGTTTTTGGTGTTATTACAGTTATGAAAGGAGCATTATATTTGGGTGCTTTGTATTTTTAGAAATTATTTTATCAATGTTTTTATTAAACCCATAATAATACTGATAATACCAAATATTATCATACATCATTATTTAAAAACAATTACATTCTGATTATTATTATTATTATTATTATTATTATTATTATTATTATTAATGTTAAATGTTAATGTTAAATGGTAATAATAATAATTGGTGCTTATACTGAGTTCGTGACTGTCTCATAGCGGACGCGCTGCATCAGCTGACGGACCGCTTTTCCATGAGTTCTAGTTCCTGGGCGGGTCGCTGTTGAGCGAACTGACCCGGCAGCGTCCAACTGATTCTCTGTAAACACGGAGCTACGGAATTTATCAAACCCGCGGACAAAACTACAGAAGAGTTAACAAAAACAGCCATTAACAGACTCTATTTGGTATATATTGTAATGCTTTCCCACAGTTGGCTGGCCGTTAGCTAGATAACGCTAACGCTAGCTAACACGCTAACGGGCTAATAACCCAGCTAACATGAAGAGACAGTCCGAGCTCGGCTACTTTGCTGCTTCGGCTAAGAGTTTTGGCACAGCGGAATCGGGACGGGTACAGGTTTGGCTCTGATGTTTCGGTAAAAAAAAACATATAATGGTAGATTCCACTTGTACCGAGGCAGATTCTACCCGTATTGGGGCAGATTATATCCGTACTGAGGCAGATTCCACCTGTATTGAGGCAGATTCTACCTGTATTGAGGTCCGAACCGTCATCAACGCTCCACCGCAGAGGCGGGAAGCGCGCGCTTAGAGCAGCTTCTGGAAACTTCGGAAAGCTTCAAAACGCGTCTGGTAAGTAAATGCTTGTTTTATTTGATGTACTAACAGTTTTTTTCAGTCAGACATTTACTCAAACCTAATCCTATGATTTGTTAGTGTTGAACTCTTCATGTGTTAAAATGAAAATGAGCATCACTTGCTAACAGTCAGTTAGCTCGCTATTATCTGCTGTGGTAACGTTAGCTAGACTAGCGAGTCTCCTCTTTCAGGTGAGTGTTTGCTCTCACAAAATAACAAGACAACAGGTTGTTTTTTAGAGAAACACCATTTTTAACTTGTGGAACGGTGTCGAATTTCTATTCAGTTTTTAATAAACTGGTGCTGGTGCGTTAGCAGGGTAAAAACTGCGATTTGGTAACTAGATGCTAACTAATTAAGTGACCTGAAATTCTGTATTAGACTAAATATTTGTCTCTCTTCTGTTCATGTTTCTGCTTTGAGGTTCAACCAAATATCATTATATATAGGCTTATATCATAAAGGTCATGAAGGGGAGGGTGGAGGGCAGGGGGTACTTAACTGAGCGCAGAGTGCATTTGGGAAGTGTCCATAAAAATTGAGTCCTGTGTGGCTGCAGACATCAGAGTTAACTGTTCATATCTGTAGCAAAGTCTCCTTAGCAGAAAATCTTCGTCCACATTTACATATTTTCTATAATAACTTTTCCTTCTGAGAGTTATATATAGTTTAAAAAGAAGAACTCAAGCACAAATGTTGACTGAAAACATCTACACAAGTAATATTTAAGAGTTTTTCTGCTTTTACTCAAGATCGTAACACTTGTCTTACACAGCAATTAAAAAGTTGTGCACTTTGTCCATCTGCTCCTCACTGACCATCTAAAGCCAGTGGTGTCAAATTTAACCACTGAAAGGGCCATATTAAAAAATCCCAGCAAATCTGTGGGCCAGCTGTGGTTTTATTTCATTTTTACTTAACATTTTGCCAAAACTGCAACAGCAAAATAGGCATTGAATACTTAATAAAATTAATGCTAAATTAAAATACATTTTAATTGGTTTAGGGACCGCCTGTTTGCTTAAACTAGACACCAGGCACCTTTTCTTTTTGTGTAACCAGTGGCCCATAGATTGTTGTTGGGGGAAGAGGGTCAGAATGCACACAACGTTGCAGTGCATGCTGGGCACTGTAGTGCATCTCAGGGTGAAACAATGGAAAATTAAAATATTTTCGGGGGCCGAATAGGACTGTGTCGCAGACCAGACTGGCCCGTGGGCCCAGAAGAGGTCAGGAACAAAAAGTGTTTCTATTTTTGAGGTATGGAACATCGTCTTTACTGGGTTTGAGAAGCTTGAATGCTTGTACAGGTTTAGTTAGTCAACAGAAATCTGCCTGTATCTGTTTCAGTTGTTGAAGTTAGAATGTTCTCTCTTCCTACAAATATCCATCTGGTTCTCGACTGATCAGGACTTACAGCTTGTCCCAGGTGCTTCACTTACAGTGTTGTTTATAGTATTGCTCTTCATATTATTAGTACATATTTCATTCTGTATTGTACTACATATTGTAGCATGAAATGTTGCCAATATTATAGATTTTCAGATGTATTTCAAGCTGGAGCTCATATGCCTTGCTTTTTTCTTTACTTTGCAAAACGGTTGCATAAAAGTAAGATCTTTCAAGGTAGTGTGCTGTTGTGAAAAACAGTACATGGTTATTGTGGTACATGGTTATTACAGTGACATGCTCCTTCTTATGTTCTATCGCATTTACCTTTTCTTTTTCTTGTTGTTGATTTGTATATTTAGTTTTCATACTGTCTTATTTTTTTGGATTATTCTCACCTTTGTTTTGTCTGGTGAGTGTTAATTACTAATTTTGCTCACTTTTTCTTCATTTTTGATGCAGCCGTGAAGAATCCACCTTTACAAGCTGCAGGCAACAAAGAAATTGACCAGAGACCTCCACACCTGTTAAGGGACGAGTGTATTTAGCACAGTGAGGTGGGCTTCAGATGTTCATTCTCGTGCTGTCTCTCTCTCCCACACATACGTAAACATTCACTGGCCATTTTTAAGGTACTCCTAACTTACAGACTGCAGTATGTTTCTCTGCATACCTTTTAGCCCCCTTTCATCCTGTTCCTCAGTGGTCAGAACCCCCACAGGACCACCACAGAGCATGTATTATTAGGGTGGTGTATTGGACACAGCAGTGATGCTGAATTTTTTAAACACTGTGTCCACTCACTTTCCACTCTATTAGACACTCCTACCTTGTTGGTCCACATTGTAGATGTAAAGTCAGAGTCAATAGCTCATCTGCAGTGCTGAGAATGAAATAATAATAGTACCTACTCTGTGGTGGTCCTGGTGGTCGTAGTTGGGGTCCTGATCATTGATGAATGAAGTGAAAGGGTTAACGAAATTATGCAGAGAAACAGATCAACTACAATCTGTGCACCTACACATTAAATGGACCTGATTAAATGGAAAATGAGCATAGATACAAGGTAACTGTACATAATTAAGTGGCCAGTGAGCTTCTACATATAATCAAGTACAACGGTGTTTTCATTAATTATGTAATTGTTATTCTACTCATTTTGTCTGAATTGTAAATTTTGTATATGTTGTCCAGACAGTTAGATCAATTACTTCAAAAAGCTTTCTGGTCTAATCAGTTCATGTCCACATACCTGTGAACACAGGTGAGCTTTAAGAATGGTTAACAAGACTCAATACAGTACATATTGTATACACATAATGTATGATATTATTTTCTGTGTTAGATTGATTGATTGCTCTTCTGTGTTGTACTGTCTCTTCTGTTTTGTTGCACATTGCCAGTTTTACTGTAGAGTTTGACACTGTGTTTCTCTCTGAAGTGGGATCAGTGACTCAGGGATGAGCTGGAGCTCTTGATGTACTACACTGGGATCACAGCTGTCAGTCCTGCTGAAAATGGATCATTAATAACTGATAATCAGGTATGGATATGAACTTGTGGTGGGAATCAAAGTTCTAAAGCTGTCTTTCCTCAGTTCACTCAGTTTCTCCTCTGATGAGTTTACAGTGGTCACTCGAGGGTCTCTTTTTCTCAGATGTTCTCTCAGAGAAAAAAAATCCCTTAGAATAAAAAAATATAAAACAAGTTAAGCCTAAAATTACACTTACAGATGAAGTGACATCTTAATATATGAGCCCTTCTTTGTAATGACTTTAACAACTCTGTCGACCATTGAATTTATGTCCATGTATAGTTTCTTCCTGTTTCATTTGAGGATGCCAGTATTGCCTTCCAGAGCTGCTGTTTTGAGCTATACTGATGACCACCTTCATTGATCTTCCTTTTAAGGATGCTTCACAGATTCTCAGTAGGATTGAGGTCAGGGGAGGATGGTGGCCATGATTTTTTATGCTCATAGCAGCCAAGGAGTCAGTGGTGTTTTTTGCAGCATGTGATGGTGAACTGTCCTGCATGAAAATGATTTTATTTCGGAAGACATGATTCTTCTTTTTATACCATGGCAGAATGGTTGGTTAGGAACTCTGTATATCATGCAGAGGTCATTTTAACACCCTCAGTGAGCGTAAAGGGACCTACCGTCTCACTTCCCAATATTCTGGCCCAAATCATCACTCCTCAACTTCCTTGCTGACGTTGCAGGCTTGTTTGAACAAATCATCTAGAACTCCATCCATCTGGTTCATCTAGTGTAGCATGGCATTCATAAGCAAAATGAAACTGTTTGAAAATTAGTCTTCGTGTATTTCTGAGCTCACTGCAAATGTTTCTTATTGAGAGCTTTGCTTAGTGGTGGCCAAAATACAGCTTTATGAACAGCTGCCAGCCTGTGGAGGATCCTGCATGGAGAGGTTCTAGAGACTCCAGCAGTTTCCAATACCTGTTTGCTGCTCAACAGTGGTGTTTTTATAGCTGCGCTTTAAATACAATTAATTTGTCTGACAGAAACTTTCCTTAATACGCCTTTATCTGACCATATTCACCTGTGCTCTGAATTTCCCACATATCTTTTCACAGTTTGATGATTTCTCTTCAGTTTTTGTGAAATATCAATCGTTTTCATGCCTTTTGTTCCACTATTCCACACTTTTCATCTTTCTTTCTCCCCATATTGCATGAGAACTGTGGCTTAATAATGTGGAAGAATCTCTTTAAGTAAGATTCCCTTTAATGAAGATCACCTGGCAAAGTAATTAACAAATCTGTCTGAGATTGGTGCCGGTTATTGTTAGATGGTGATACCCTCATGAAAGCATATATATATATATATATATATATGTATATACATATATATATATATATATATATATATATGTGTATGTATATATATATATTTATATGTTCACAAGTAGATTTGAGTAACAGCCATGAGGCTGGACTCAAGCTACACGGGCGGTTAGTAGTGAGTACAGGTGAGACCGTTTTCTGGCTGGCCCGGAGCTTTTGTACTCTAAGCTCCGCCTCAGCCTACACCAAACCCCAACCCCGGGATACATAACTAATACACACACACGCATACTGTACAGTAACAACATACACCTGGTTGCAACCCATGACAGTCTTACTGGTAAGTATATACAAATATTACATATAAAGACCATGAAAGCCTCCTAACATGTTTTCTTTTCTTTACAGGACCAGCACCAGAGTGTTGGTGGATCCATCCGACTAGGGATAAGAGGAGCCACAGCTCTCACCGACATCCCCTAAAAGATGCATAACAAAGGAATACAGGGGAGTAACATTTTATTTCACTTAAATGTCTATACTTCTGATGGTTATGCTACCAGTCACTAGGGCTGGTGATGGGGTGTAAAACTCACCACATCACAGTTATCTTAAAAGGTATGAGAAATAATACAGACACTTAATTTGAAAAACTAAAACCTAAATGCTTATTATACTGAAATCCTACTGATAAATCACTTACATAATCATTTGGAACACAGTGTAGTGATGACATGCTAGCAGAGTTGTTCGTGATCGTTAGTGAAGTTGTGTCTGTTGTGTCTGTAATGTTTAGCCTGTGGCTTATGGTGCATGTGACGTTTCTTATGCTGTAATTTGACAGCGTTTATTGAGAGATGGCTGCTGTAGCCGAGAGAGAAACATGTCGGCCATCTGTCCCGAACAGCTGTCCAAACCCTCAGTGCAGGGTCAGGTTTGGAGACTGTACTTGTAGCTGCACAGCTCTGTCTGGGTCGTTACCTGGCTATGATCTTATACTCTGAGCTCTGTTTTATCTGCATGTAAACACAATCACTAAAGCAGCTTTTCATCATGTGAGAAACATCACTAAAATTCTGCCTTTTCTCTCTCAGAGCGACGCTGAGAAACTTGTTGATGTATTTGTTACAAGCAGAGTTGATCACTGTAATGATCTTCTTACTGGACTTCCTAAAAAACAATATATCCTCTACAAATCGTACAAAACACAGCAGCATCCTAACAAAAGCTAAACAGAGAGATCAGATCACTCCCGTCTTTAAAAGAGCTGCACTGACTGCCTGTATCATTCAGGATAGATTTTAAAGCTCTCTAAATGACCTTAAAGCACTGCTTACATCACAGAGTGTCTGTCTTTTTATGTTCCAGCACGAGATCTTAGATCTGCAGATACTGACCTTCTGCAAATACCTTCTGTAAAATACAGAAAACGTGGAGAGACTCGTTCAGTTATTACGCTTCACCTTTTATCACCTTTTATTTTTATTATGTTCTCTTTTTATTAGACAGTCAAGCTCATAGCTCACTTTTTAATTAAAAGAGGATTAAACCTCTTTAATTAAACCTTATTTAAACCTCTTAATTTGATCTGTGTCGTGTGGTTACAATAATAGGCAAATCATATAAATCCTATATTTAATTGGAAATAGTGCAAAGACAACATATCAGATGTGTACATGTTTATCACTGTGTTATATCATCTCTTCTTTCAACACTCGGGGTCTTCTTTGTTATATTTTTCGTTTCATAGTGCTCCAAATGTTTTCAGTGGTGACAGGTCTGGACTGCTGGCAGGTCAGTTTAGCACCCGGACTCTTACTATAGAGTCATGCTGTTGTAATAGAGCATGTGGTTTAGCATTGTCTTGCTGGAATAATCAAGGCCTTCCCTGAAAAAAGATGTCGTCTGGACAGCAGCACATTTAGCCAAAACCATATATCGGGGGTCTTTAATTAAAATTCAGTAAGGTCCAGTCAAAGAAAATTTCCTCAGCTTGATTTCATCAGCACACAGTTAAAAAGCCAGTATTCATGATGGTACAGGGGTGCATTAGTGCACATGGCATGGCTGACATGCACATCTGTGAAGTCAACATTAACGCTGAATGATATATGGCAGAGGTCACTAATAGGCGGACCGCGGTCCGAGTTCAGACCCAGACGCTGTCCTCTGTGGACCTGGACCTATAACTAATAAACTATGGATAATTATTTAATTTCAACAGGGTGGTCCTAATTTTATCGGCGTAACATTTCTAGTCATTACGGCAGCCTGAGAGACTCGCAGGCTAATTACATGCTTGTAAATATCACACATGACGCTACTCAGCCAATCAGATCTGTGCATTACAAGGCGCACTGCGTCTCAGATGAGTGACACACACACAAGGGAGGGACGTGGCGAGACACAGCAGTTGGAGAAGAAAATGAGCCAGATTATTTCACATGATTTGCTATAAAAAGGGAAAACTGACAGTAAATATTGTTGAAATATCACTGAATTGTACTTTATTTGATTTGACATTCAGTTGTTGACTTTTCTGCATTTACAGTGCGTTTGTGAAATGTAGTTCAGGTGTCGTCATTTTGATGAAAGTGTTGTTCTCATGAAGTTAATCCCATAACTAATGAAGATCAGTGAGCAGAAACCGTGCACATTACTGTGTGTCTGTCTGTGTCAGGTTGTGACCTGTTCCTCAGGGCGACTGCCCCAGCTCTCTCTACATGGCTTGACTGGGCACACTGAGCTGTGGACTGCACTGCCCTGTCCTGCTGATTAGAGGAAACCAGCAGAATGTCCTCACCTTCTACTGCCGGTAACTCACTCATCCACAATCACTTAGCACTTATCAAGGAATTTATGTAGAACAACTGTGCCTTGCTTAAAATGTTCAGTTTATTGAAGTTGCTGTGTCAGATCATCATGAGCAGCTTCTTTGCAGACGCCTGCAGGGATGTGTCGAAATTTCCTTTGTACACTTCTGACTTGATTATAACATCAGTGAACAGGAGCTCATCGACAGCTCTGTAAGAAAAACAGCTCCAATTCAAACCTAACTGTCTCTCTTAGAGCTCTGATTGGAGGCGATAATGTCAGTCTTCATTACACAGTGCACAGGGCTTTTCCTACACTCTTAACAAAGATGGTTCTTCAGGGGTTCTGCAGATATAGAACCATGGACACTCAAAGAACCCTTTGCATCTTGAAAGGGTTTTTCAGACTGATGGAGAATGGTGCTGTAGGTGGTTCTATTTAGGTTCTATTTAATTGGACTGTGCTGGTTACGTGACCATGTGAATAATTGTGTTCAGATTATCAAGTGTATGTAAACACACTGATTATTTTCCCATTATCTTATAGTATTTCACATTTCAACAAAGAGCAAATAAAAGAAAACACGTTAATAAGTTCTGGCAGTCATACAGAATAATAATATCATTACTGATGAGGGGAAACAGGAACCGTTTTTCATTCCGTTAGTAACGTCATGTCTGAGCTATTCCTATAGAAGAGGCAGAAACAAGAATATATGATTACAGCCGTGCTGGTTCCCCTCTCCTCACTCTCTGAATTTGGAGCTCTTGCTGATTAGGTGCTGAGTTGAATCAGGTGAGTTAAATGAGGTGCTAAACTCTTCAGTGCCAGGCAGGACTGCAGTCTGACATCTCTGACATAAATTCAGGCGTTCAGTGAATGACTGTAAAATGAATGAATGATTTTTGTGGTATATTTACTATACGTCTGTAAATACAGTGCAGAAGATAAATGAATGAGTTTTGCTTCATTTTAAATAAAATTAGGTGTTGTTTCATGAACGTATACTTTTTTCTCCACTCTTTTGTGCTCAGCCAGAGCAGCTCGATGGTGAGATGTAAACGCCTGTCTCTGAATATTATGGGAGGAGCTTGTTAGCTACCAGCTGACCTAGGGGTGGACAATATGACGATAATTTATTCTTATTGTGGAAAATTACGTGATACATTCTCCATCAGTCTGAAGAACCATTAAGCATGCAAATAGTTCTTTAAAAGTTAATGGTTCTTTATAAAACCACTGTGTTTACTAAGGAACCCTTGAAGAACCGTCTTTTTTTAAGAGTGTATATAGAATATTTTGCTTGTTTAAATGGTTCTCTGCTTGGCAAAATGGTTCTTCAGATTGATGGAGAATGTGTTGTGTATGGTTCTATGTAGAACTCATGGTTCTAAACAGAACCATTGCCTTTTCTAAAGAACCCTTGAAGAAGCATGTTTTTAAGACTGTAATGAAACACACCTGATCCAGTTAATGAAGGCCTGGAGGGGAATCTGAATGTCTGTGTTTTGGGTCTGAACTGTTTAGGGTGGGAGGCCAGGACTGGGCACCTCTGCACTAGTGTATCTCAGAGATGTCCAGTTCCAGTTCCGGAGATCTGCCACCCTGCAGAGTTCAGCTCCAACCCTGATCTGACACACCTGATCCAGGTAATCAAGGCCTCCAGGCACATCTGAATATTAGAGCCAGGTGAGGTGGATGTGAGCTTTTCAGAGTGATGGATCTCCAGGAGCAGGACTGAGCGCCTCGACTGTAATTCTTACCTCAGTTAAACAAAATCGTAAATAAAACAGTGACTTTTTATTATTATGACTTCATTTACGAGGGTGGAAGATATCTCAGACTCAGATTTGCTGCATTTCAGACCAACATATCTGATGTTTTAACCCGACTCTGAGTATAATCTAGTGTAAACTGATCAACGACTCAATGTGAACAGATTCCTGCAACAGCCACTGAAAACTGAGAGCGCGAAAGAAGAAAATACAGCAAGTAAACAAATAAAAATGGAGAAAAGTCTCTCACGAGTGGAGCAAATCTTTTTAATGAGCTGAGTTTAAAGCACAAAAGTTTATGTGCATTTAAAACTCTAAAAATACCAACTGATCACATTTTTAAATCATTAATCCTCACTTAAACGTTTACGTGCTGCTTCCTTACTGTCTCTGCAAACGGCAGAGAAATCAGTAATCGTAAGATCAGTGAGCTCCGTTCAGTTCAGCAGCAGCTTAAAAGTTAAAAGTGTGGATCCCCAATATTTCAGTCGCCCAAGAAAATCTGCAAAAACCAGTCTGACAGTGTGAGACGCCCAATCTTTTTATAATCTGTTAAGACTTTAAAAGTCGTGTAGTGAACCCGAGGCTTTAGTTACAGAGAGATGCTGCTCTTGTTCAGGTACACGAAATACATGAATGTGCTGGATAAATGTTTCTGTGTCTGACACAACAAAGTGAATTTAATTCCTCATCTGTATGGTGACAATATTACTGAACAGTGGCCTCTCGTCAACTATAGGAAACTAGCCAGCCAGGTTAACCGTGAACATCACCGTTGTGTTGTGGCTCACCTCCATTGTGTTTTGTGGTATTTGTGAAATGTAGCTCTGTGTAGTCGTTCTGATGAAAGCGTTTCCTGTGTTTACAGTGCGTTTGTGAAATGTAGCTCTGTGTAGTCATTCTGATAAAAGCGTTTTCTGTATTTACAGTGCGTTTGTGAAATGTAGCTTCTGTGTAGTCGTTCTGATAAAAGCTTTTTCTGTGTTTACAGTGCGTTTGTAAATGTAGCTCTGTGTAGTCGTTCTGATAAAAGCGTTTTCTGTATTTACAGTGGGTTTGTGAAATGTAGCTCCTGTGTAGTCGTTCTGATAAAAGCTTTTTCTGTATTTACAGTGGGTTTGTGAAATGTAGCTCTGTGTAGTCGTTCTGATAAAAGCGTTTCCTGTGTTTACAGTGCGTTTGTGAAATGTAGCTCTGTGTATTCGTTCTTATAAAAGTGTTTTCAATCGTACTTTTAATTATATATATATATATATATATATATATATATATATATATATATGTATATATATATACATATATATATGCATATATAAATATATATATTAGGGGTGCAGGGAAAAATCGTTTCTTAGATGCATCGCCATGCGGACGTGGACGATTCTGAATCTGTTCATAAACTTCAAAAATCGATTTGCTAAATATTTAATTCATACCATAATGGTCACTGAACGTAAAAAGCGGAACTTGGAAGTGGGGAAGTGCAGAGCCCGGACAGTCTGTGGCGGCACATAACAACAACAATTCCAGCAATGGTCGAATTCGAAAGAGAAGTGACTTCATTTTCGCAACTTTTAGTGTTTGACAGTCTTTCAGATTTAATGTTCCAGGAAACCAACTGTGCCGCTTATAAACGGGAATAAGTCCATTTGTCTCCAGATGTTCGTCTTTGCTAAATCTCTCTCTGCCTTTTCGTTCGCTACTAGCTCGGAGAGACTGTGTTGCTAAGTGACCTGCAGTCTGTACGCTGGTTCGTTGAAAAACAGGGCTTTTGCGCTATGTAGCAAGCGTCCCATCTCACAGATATTTTACTGACACAGTGACCCCCCCCCGCCCCCCCACCCCTAAACAAAAGCAGTGAATGAGAACCTTCCAATGAACTTGCCACATCACTTCCATTTGATTTATTAATAAAAGATATTGGGAGTAAATTCATTATAGATCATTACAAATACTTTAAAAATACCAAGTCATCACACAGTGAGAAAAAAATCCTGTATAGAAAAAAAAGATGCATCCATAATCGTTTTATAATCGCATCACAGGCCTCCGAATTGTAGTCGAATCAAATCGTGAGGTGCCATGGATTCCCACCCCAACTATGAATAGGCTCTTGTTGGTCACTGTATATCTGAGCCAAAATGAAAAACGAAACCTCTGTTCGACAGTTTTCACGTCACTCAACTTCTTTTTTGTCAAACATATTTGCTTCATTGAAAAGCAACAAAAACAGTGAAATGCAGTAAACGCTCTGTTACACTGATTTAACGGAGGAAAGCAATATAGTGAAGCCTTTTGTTTTAGAGGGTTTGTTTTTCATTTGGCTCGTATTCTGCACGTCACTACGGAAAAATAACAGTAACTGCTTTTCAGTTTGTTCCTCTCCATACGAGAGAGCAAGCACCAACATGGTTATCAGTACTTTCCCCTCATTCGAACGTTGCTCTCCTTGTGGACTTTCTGTCTTACAGTCTGAGAGAAAGGTGAGGCTGAAGGAGATCATCAGGAGGAATTCCAAACACGCTGCTCTGGTCTTACTGTGAGTCCTGATCCCAGTTCATACTCATTAACAGCTGAGCTTTATAAGGATTCTGTTCAATATTCAGCTCAAAACCAAACAGTGCAAATTCAAATATTGTTTGAAATTCCTCAGTCAGGCTCAGTTGTTCTCATGAAGTTAATCCCATAACTAATGAAGATCAAAGAGCAGAAGCCGTGCTTCGAAGCTGTGTGTCTGTGTGTCTGTCTGTGTCAGGTCGTGACCTGTCCCTCAGGGCTGCTTCCTCGGCTCTGTCTACATGGCTTGACTGGACACACTGAGCTGTGGACTGCACTGCCCCGTCCTGCTGATTAGAGGAAACCAGCAGAATGTCCTCACATTCTACTGCCAGAAACTCACTCATCCACAATCACTTAGCACTTATCAAGGAATTTATGTAGAAAAAATCTAAGAAATTTGAATACATTTGTTGTTTTGTGTACAAATTCTAATATATAACACAGTGAACAACATGATCAGCTGAGGTATCATGAAGAGAGACAGTGGTTTAGGAACAGCACTTCACTGATTACTTTGTAAATTATCATTTAAATGAAACTCATGTTCAACTTTTGTAGCATTCAGTTTGACATCAGTCCATCCTGCCTGACATTTCTAGATATTTCTGCAGACTTTGATTTGCTGTATATTAGACTAGGAGAACTAAACTTAATTATAAATGTACATTTTAATGAGGTAACAAGTTGGTTCCCTGGACAGAGATCAAATTAAATTCCATGACTTTTTTTTTCAATTGGGAGGCCAGGACTGAGCAGAGTTCAGCTCCAACCCTGATCTGACACACCTGATCCAGGTAATCAGGGCCTCCAGGCACATCTGAATATTAGAGCCAGGTGAGTTGGATGTGAGCTTTTCAGAGTGATGGATCTTCAGGAGCAGGATTGAGCGCCCCGGCTGTAACTCTTACCTCAGTTAAACAAAATCGTAAATAAAACAGTGACTTTTTATTATTATGACTTCATTTAAGAGGCTGTAAAAATCCAAGTTTTGCTGGCCAGAAACTTTGATTTTACAAGACATTGATTTCTTGAGGATCAGGGTTTGTATAGCGATGCACGACTCTGTTTTCTGTTGTAGACTGCACTTAATTTAAAGCCAAGGCTGCATCCACAACCGCGTACTACTACTATATCATACATACTGTAGTGCACTTTGCTATTAAAAGATACAGATTTCGCACAAGTCATGGTGCTTTATTCTTCAGCTGTTTTTGTCCACAGCTACAGCGTACATAAGGTTTTCTCTTTACTAACAGCTCGTTGCTACCCAGCTCACATCTGACTCTCTCAGCTATTTCTGCTCACCACACTTATCCCCCCCAGGCGGACCTTGCCTTGCCCTTCATAGTAAGAGTCCTCAGCAAAAAAACCCTGTGAAGTGCTGAAGAATAAATAACCCAAAACCAACAGGCATGATAATACACCTTCACACATTTACAGACTTGTAGAAAAGTCTTTAATGTTCAAAGGCAAACATTTCATTTCAGTTTTGGGGATAAAATATTACTAACATGGTTTTGAGGATGGAGCTCATGAGTCCCCCTAAATTAACACATGATCCATATATTAGGATTTGTTTCACCATGGCAGCAAAACTCATCTTGGCCAGTGACTGGAAAATGGCACAGTGCACAGTCTTATGTAGAAGTTTGGACTTTGGACTTGGTCAAATCACTCATTGTTGATGCTCCAAGCGTGAATATGATAAAAAACCCTTCACAGGTATAAATTTAAATATGATGTATGTCTCCACACTTAGACACACACACAATGTATTTAAAGTGCCATTTTGCACGTCACTTTTTTGCAATGTGTTAAATTAAGGAAATAGACGGTAATCATGCTTTAGAAGGTGCAGAAGTACAAATGTGTCTGTAGAGAAAATCAACAGCACACAGAGTTTTATCAGGGATGTCCACAGAGTTTTATCAGGGACTACAATCTAAACTGTACATAGATTGTACAGTGGGGTGGGAAAGTTTGGGCAGCCTTGTTAATTTTCCTGATTTACCTTTATAAATCATTGATTGTTTGGATAAAAAAATTCCGTTAAATATATCATACAGGGGACAAACACAGTGATACTTGAGAAGTGAAATGAAGTTTATATGATTTACAGCAAGTGTGCAATAATTGGTCAAACAAAAGTAGGCAGGTGCATAAATTTGGGCATTGTTGTCATTTTATTGATTTCAAAACCTTTAGAACTAATTATTGGAACTCAAATTTGGTTTGGTAAGTTCAGTGACCCTTGACCTCCATACACAGGTGACTCCAATTATGAGAAATGGTATTTAAGGGGGGCAATTGTAAGTTTTTCTCCTCTTTGCATCTTCTCTGAAGAGTCGCAGCATGGGAGTCTCAAAACAACTTTCAAATGACCTGAAAACAAAGATCGTTCACCGTCATGGTTTAGGGGAAGGATACAGAAAGCTATCTCAGAGATTTCAGCTTTCAGTCTCCACTGTGAGAAACATTGTGAGAAAATGGAAGACCACAGGCACAGTTCAAGTCAAGGCTCGAAGTGGCAGACCAAGAAAAATCTCGAATAAACAGAAGTGAAGGATGTTGAGAACAGTCAGAGTCAACCCACAGACCAGCACCAAAGACCTACAACATGATCTTGCTGCTGATGGAGTCACTGTGCATCGTTCAACTATTCGGCGCACTTTACACAAGGAGATGCTGTATGGGAGAGTGATGCAGAGGAAGCCTTTTCTCCGCCCACATCACAAACAGAGCCGCTTGAGGTATGCTAAAGCACATTTGGACAAGCCAGCTTCATTTTGGAATAAGGTGCCGTGGACTGATGAAACTAAAATAGAGTTATTTGGGCATAATAAGGGTCGTTATGCATGGAGGAAAAAGAACACAGCACTCCAAGAAAAACACCTGCTACCTACAGTAAAATTTGGTGGTGGTTCCATCATGCTGTGGGGCTGTGTGGCCAGTACAGGGACTGGGAATCTTGTTAAAGTTGAGGGACGCATGGATTCCAATCAATATCAGCACATTCTGGAGATCAATGTCCAGGAATCAGTGACAAAGCTGAAGCTGCGCCGGGGCTGGATCTTCCAACAAGACAACGACCCTAAACACTGCTCAAAATCTACTACGGTATTCATGCAGAGGAACAAGTACAACGTTCTGGAATGGCCATCTCAGTCCCCAGACCTGAATATTATTGAAAATCTGTGGTGTCACTTAAAGAGAGCTGTCCATGCTCGGAAACCATCAAACCTGAATGAACTAGAGATGTTTTGTAAAGAAGAATGGTCTAAAATACCTTCAGCCACAATCCAGACTCTCATTAGAAGCTATAGGAAGCGTTTAGAGGCTGTTATTTCTGCGAAAGGAGGATCTACTAAATATTGAGTTAAGGGTTTTTTTTGGTGCCCATATTTATGCACCTGCCTAATTTTGTTTGACCAATTATTGCACACTTTCTGTAATTCATATAAACTTCATTTCACTTCTCAAGTATCACTGTGTTTGTCCCCTGTATGATATATTTAACGGAATTTTTTTATCCAAACAATCAATGATTTATAAAGGTAAATCAGGAAAATTAACAAGGCTGCCCAAACTTTCCCACCCCACTGTAGTTTATGTACGTAAATTTTGGTA